TGTGGTGCTGGGGATTGAACCGCGGTCCCTGATGCTTTTGCTAAGCTTGTTCTAAGTAGGTGCTTTAGACCACTGAGCCATCTCTCCAGCCCCTGGTGGTACTATTGTAGGCAGCTGAATCAGATAAAAATACTGTAGGCATCGGAGAGGGTTAGATTCAAAAGGACCCAATATGGAAGAGAAGATACCTCACAACTGTGGGGGAGACAGGCACCTCCACTGTGGGCAAGACCTGAAGACAAAAGATTAAACAAATGAACCGATACAACTCCCCAGGGATGGGCATCAGGGACTGATATTCTAAATAGCTATGGATCACCTTGAAAAATCCTGGAAGAGTCACTAACCCAACTCCATGCAGTAATAGCCTCAGTTCTGTATTCCTGTCCCTGGGCTAAGTGACTTCTTCCCCATTTGGTCCTGGATTTAATCAATTTTTTTTTTTTTTTCCCAGAACCAGGGATTGAACTCAGGCCCTTGCGCTTGCCAGGGAAGCGCTTATTCCACTGAGCCATCTCCCCGGCCCCTTGGATTTAATCAATTTTGCCTGAACAGTTGTGCTTCTAATCTTATTGGCTGACCATGGTTTCACCCCACCTCATGCCCACCTAGCCAGTTCCTGAGCTTTCCATCTTAGGGCTGCCTTACCTACATAGCTTCGCTGTATAAGAACCCCTAGGAAAGGCAGGTGTCTTGGCAGCTGATTCAGGTCCCCTACTGTCCTTCTCTCAGGCAGAAGCTTTCTTTCCCCCAATAAATATATCCTGCTCTTGACCTCCATCATTTCTAAAATTCATCCCTTGGTTTTAGAGAACACCAACTCATCCCAAGTGTCTTGTAGGTTGGGAGCGTCTTTCCCCTGGATCACTTTCTGCTGGGACGCAGAGGTGGAGGTGAATTTGGCAGGCTGAACGCTGTCCGTGGAGCCTGGAGTTCTGCTTTCCCCACAGGATGGCCCTGGCTTTCTTTAGTAAGAACCGGGAGGGGGAATCAAAGTGGAGAAAACAAGCATTTCTGCGGCTGCTGCGGCTGCCACAGCGCTACACCAGCAGCCGTGACCCACTTCACACATTGTTCCCTCGCCCAGTCGGACTTCCTTGGAACTTCCCGGACTCCCCAGCTCCCACACCCAACAACCTGTCCTGCTCCGAGTTCTTCTCCAGGCAGACGCTTCTCCTGGCTGTTGAGGTCCCAGGAGCCTTGGCACAGACTGCAGGCCTGGGCTGCTCCACTGTCCAGGGCATTCGCCAGGAAATGAGTCCTGGTTTGCAACGTGAAGAGGATTCGTCCTCTGTGTGGTTGAGGGCTGTGGAGCAAGCTGGGGATCTGGGGGCAGTGGGACCACCAGAATTTGAGGGTTCCCCTACAGTGGGTTTGTTACTGAACTTCAGTACCATTCAAAATTTTCTTGTACTTTGTTGATCAATAAATCATAGAATCAGCTTGCCAGTTTGTATGCAAGCTCTCACTGAGAATTTGTTCAGGTTCATTTGAAATTCATAGATTGATTTGGTACCCTAACTATATGAAGTCTTCCAGTTCACGAACAGGAACATAAGAATCTCTCTCTCAATCTCTCTCTCTCAATCTCTCTCTCTCAATCTCTCTCTCTCTCTCTCTCTCTCTCTCTCTCTCTCTCTCTCTCTCTCAATCTCTCTCTCTCTCTCTCTGTTGCTTTCCCTCTGTCTCTGTCTGTGTATGTCTCTGCCTCTCTCCCATCAGTTACGTAGATATTCATTTATCTTAACAGTTCTAAGTTGGTAACATTTTGTAATTTTTCAAAAAATGTTTTCATTTTATGTGTGCCATAAAGTCCCATGGAGTTGTTTCTAATCGCCCCCGATGTCTTTTACTGTTTTTGGCAGCTACAGTGGCCTCTACTGGCCATTTGTATCTCTCTTTTATCTCTTCTTCTTTTTTTTTTTTTTTTTTTTGATCTACAAAGTGTGGTACAGGGTTTCAGGATAAATCCTGAGGGGATGTGACTGACTTTATCAGATGCAAAGTTTCATTTCTTTTTATATAGGTCTTGCTTATCTTGTTCTTTTGTCTGATTATAAGTCTTTTATTTTTTAATTTTTGACATCAGTTATTTTTATTTTAAAGAAAAAAAAATAAAAACAATGGTACAAAATCTCAAAACAAGATTTTAGGAGAGT